TATATATATATATACACACACACACACACACACGCATACAAATTCCAAATTCCATACAAATATTATTATTATATTTAACAATTATATTATACGGATTGGTATAACAACATTATAAGGTAACGCTTTACAATAAGGTTCATTAGTAAACAGTAGTTAACTACTTTAAACTAAGAATGAACAACACTTCTACAGCATTTATTAATCTTAATGTTAATTTTAGCATTTACTAATGCATTAAGATCACGTTGTGTTTGTTAACATTAGTTAATGCACTGTGGACTAACAATGAACGACTATTTTTATTAACTAAAGTACCGTATACATACTGTAATAAATGTATTATTCATGTTAATTAATACATTAACTAATGTTAACAATTGACACCTTATGGTAAAGTGTTACCCATTATAAAAGTTTCCTTGACTTTAAAATGTTATTTCATCTGTTTATTTACCCACATTTTATTAACTGTTAAATTATTTTACATTTATGCTTTATTATACGTTTTTGAAATACACAGATAATTTAAAGCATTTAAAATAACTAGAAATAAAATCAGTAAAAACTATAAATTGACCAGAAATAAAATGAATAGAACCTTCACTACAAATTAAAATGTAAAATAAAAATGAATGCAAAATATTAATGGCTAATAATGAGTGATAAGTCATAATTTACTATATATTATTTACTTTTTAAAAAAACACAATAAATTAAATTCACAATGTTGCTTAATTTTAATTCGCATGTGAATAAATATGAATATTTATTAATTTTTTTTAGTCCTGTGGCCGCAATATTATTATAGCTTTTACTAATTTTAAAAATTAGTTTCTATGTTTATATTTTTATTTAATTTTATGAATGTCATTTCGTTGAGTGTTTGTCTTTAAAAAAAAAAAATTATAATTTGTCTATACAGTTTAGACATTTTTTATTTCAGTTTAAGCTATTACATCAAGTTAAACTAAAAAATGTAAAATGTTGCCTTAGCAACTAGCTGAAATAATCAGTTTGAATGTTATTTTAATATTTGATTTTAATCAGTTAACGCTTATTTTATTTCAAGTACCTAATCTTTGTATTTTTTCAGTTAACTATAATAACCCTGCTAAAAAAATAATTGATAAAGACCACAGAAGTAGTGCAACGGTTAACGTCAGCAGGTCTTAAAAAGGACATTAACAACAATCCTGCTGAATGAATACAAACTAGGTTAATATATAAAGGAAGGATAAAATCGTCACAAGCGTGGAGCCAAAAGTAACCGCAGGAATGATTAACGTGGAAAGCAGGACGGGCGAGACGAGAGATGCATGCGAGGCTGCAGAGCCTCATTTTCTCCTGGCTGGTCTCCTCGGGATCTGCAAACAGCAGCCATTTTCTCCTGAGCGGCGTAAAAACACGCATCGCATGAGACGAATGAACACGCAAACTGAGAAGATACCATCTATATGTGATGATTCACTTCTGCTAATAAAGCATAATATTGCATGTAAACAGTGAGGGTTTTCAGGGCATTCAATGACGACTGCTGAGCTGCTTTACAGCAGAATTGAATTGATTTTGTTTGCATCACTGAATCACTATTTTCTTGTTTAAAGCTGCTCTGAATCAAATGTGGATTGTATAAAGCACTAAATAAATCAATGTGACTTGAATTAAAACCCTGCAGGAACACATTGCAGCAGCCTCTCGAAACGTATTGCTTTAATAAAATGGTGGCAAAAAATATGATAATAAATACATAATTCTTTAGTTCTTAAATGTAATATACAAATAATATAGCTCATAAATGTAGTCATATATGGTTGTCAAGCAAAAAATAAAAATAAAATACAATTTAAGTCGAAGTGATAAATGATTCTGTTTTAAGTCATTTAAGTCTTAGAACTTCTTTTTAACTTGGAATTGCATTTAATATGATTTTTTTTAATTCTACAATAAGCCCACATGACTTACTGTTATGCTGTGAAAATGTAAAATGTATATAGAATTATTTATAATATATATATTACCTATTAAATAAATTATTATAATAAATAAAATAATTTGAATATAATTAAATTGTATATAAATTAGTAATTATTTTATTTGTTATTTTTTTTAAATATATATACATATATTTTATTTTTATTTATATACACACACACACATTGCATACTTTATTAGTGCACATTTGATGACATTTCTTTAGGTGCTTAAATTTCCCTTATTTTAACTTTGATTGAAATTTAAGTTGCAATTATTGTGGTTCTCTTAAATAATTGCGATCGAATAACTGTAATCAGATAATGTATTAGTAACGGTGACAGAGCTAATTATTGTAAATCACAGACAATTACACAACTGCGCCCACAGAGTCAGATCAGCAAACGTAGGCTAATCTTCTTCAC